AAAGCCTGAACGCATTGCCCTAAAATCCTATTGTCAGCACCACCGGTTCTCCAACATATTCTCTAGCACAATATCTACCTTCCTTATTAAAATCATTTACAGGAAAAACTGATAGTTTCGTACTTAATTCCTTTCACTTCATTGAACAATTAAAAACTGTTATATTAGATCCACAAGATATTCTGGTTAGTTTCGACGTTTACCAAAGTCCCAATTCCTGAAACTCTCGTCATCATTTCATATATATTGAAGTCCGAGAATCTGAAACCAAACCTTCTCACCTTAATTGAAAAATGCTTGTCGGGAACATATTTTTCTTATAACGGTCAAATTTTTGAACAAACATCGGGAACAGCTATGGGTTCTCCACTATCACCAATGATCGCCAATATATATATGGAAGCCTTTGAGAAGAAAGCTCTCGACACCCTTTAATCTAAAGCCAAAATTATGGAAATGCACATAATTACTGCGGGAGCGGAACATTTTCTACCATATCACAAGCAAACACCGTTAGAATCGGTAATTGTTTTTGAATAAAATCAGAGGTATTGGACTCTAGCAAAATAAAGCAAGGAATTTAGGCGTTCCTGGGGTGGGGTTGCATTTTTGAGAAAATCATTTCCCACTGATTTTAATTTATCTATTTTAATTTTTGTCTGTACAGTTCCATAGGTAAAATTCGAACTATTGGACGGCATCTTAAAGCCCCATTTAAATAAAAAAATACAAAATAAAGCATTGGGTTAACTATATTTTGTATAAAAAATCCTACAAAATTCACTCCGAGAGAGTGATTATATATATATATATATATATATATATATATATATATATATATATATATATATATATATATATATATATATATATATATATATACAGGGTTTTTCACTTAAAACTCCGCACGCCAACAACTCCAAAACGAAAAGAAATATTTAATTTATGTAAAAAGTAGCCAAAGTGTGGGGTCAAGTAGATATTTCCTAAAGTTTAAAAAATTCGACGCCTGCAAAGAGCTGGGCGTCGCGACGCGTCGAAAAATTATTCGATTGCAGAGACTTTGGAAATACGCGCATACAAAAGTACATATTATTTAAAAACTTTTTTGTTATCTACTCAAATTTGTTTACTTTACCCGTTTCTAAGTTATACCGATTTAAAGTAAACATTTCTTGATTAATAAAAAATGTGATTAACGCTTATTTTTACAAGTATGCCATGAATGTTGGTTACTATGGCAACCATTGTTATCGCAGTTGTTTTAAGTACAATTACAAACGTAAGTTGTTATTGCTGTATCAAAAAATTGTCACAGGAAATATCCAAATTTGTTCGGTTTAAAAAAAACTAAGAATTATTATGTGAAAATGGTGCAATTTAGCAATGAGGAAAAAGTAGACATGTTACTGGTGTTTGAAGAATGCAGATGCAATTGTAGAGAAGCAAAAAGCAAAATAACAAATCTACTATCAGTCCCATTGATATTATAATTAAAACTTTCTCTGACGGAAATAATGTAATTAAGCATTGGCAGTTCAAAGCATTCATTTTCGAGCGGCAGTCACCAAATGTCATGAAAATTTTCAATAATTACTTATTTTAGTAGTGCATACAATTTCATAATTCCAAAGTTTTGTACTTTGGATAATTTAAAAACAAAATTAACCATTTTCTGTGGTTAAATGATGCAATAAAAATTTTGCAAAGAGTTAATATAAAATTTGCATTGTAAGAAAATTGTAATATAAACGGTAACGTATACGTTATATAAAGGTGCAAGAGTACTTAAATTTAATAAAATATGCACTAACTAAAACTGATTAATTTTTTATAATTCATCCCATAAAAAAAACAATAAGTTGTTATTCAACTTACTTTTCTTTGACACTTTTTTTGATACATATACAGAGTCAGCAGTTAGAGGCTATAAACTTAAACATGTGGGGTTCTAATGAATCTACTATTAACGACCAGGCATTAAAAATTCAAAATAAGTTTTTTTTTTGTTTTTACATTTAATTTGATTGTTTTGACTTCAATAACTACATATTATAAGCCACTAGCTATAGACGATAGCACGATAACATAAGTTTAATAACGAACTTAGATTTAAAGCATGTGGATAGCGGTAAAAAGGTATTGTTTCCTATAATCGAATGTGGAAAAATAATGATTGTCAACAATTAAATGAAATGCGATAGCAGTAATTTGATAACGTTTAAAAGTCGCACAACTATCGTAAAGTTTAGTGTTGTGTAGAATGTATTATTCTTAAGCACACCATAAGAAAACTAATTCATTTTTTTTGCCTTTTAGAAGTTACTTAACGGCTCATTTCATAAATTAATTGTGAAAAGTTTATTTTATGTTTGTCGTGAATTTGAAGTGATTCTGAATAGATAAAATTCCTTTCAAACAATAAAAAAAATCATTATAATATAATAATATATTATCGATCGGTTTGCAACTTTCGATATGTTTTTAAAAAAGGTAAGTCCGAAAGATTAATTTTTTAGAACTAGATTCATATATATCAAAGAGTCCAAAAAATAGATATTCATAAAAATACAATGTGTAAGAACGCCCTTATTCACGCCTGGGAGTTAGGGGAAGAGTTTTGAAGTACCAGTTAAGGGGTTCACAGATTTTCCTTTTTCTCTAAATAAAATATACAATAAAGGACTATTATTTCCTTTTTACCTTTAGTGATCCAAATGCGATTTACTCCAACTTGTTCATAGTTGAGGATTTTAACTATCTTTGACATAATAAAAAAAATTTTTAAACCTTTGCCATCTCAATAATGAAACATTTTGTTTATATGAACTTTCCTGAAAAAGTACCTATTTGTGTAAAATAGTGAAATAATACTGGTAGCACCCCTTTTGTTCTAGAAATTTTAGAACTCCTTAATTTTTCAAAGAAACTTCTGTCTCTACACCTTGAAATTGTTTCCATCTTGTCCCCATCCGAGTTCGGTACACTTTCAAACATGATTCGTGGCAAAGCTTTAAATCTTCGTTTATCTTCTACCCAAAATCACATTCAGAAAATTGAAAAACTAACGTCAACACTAGGAAAACCATCAAGCTGTTCCCAGCTACCAAACACTGTAATAAATGTGTCACTGTATAAAAATCAATTGTTTCAAAAGGTTCCAAGTTCGTCAGTGCCTCAGGTATTATCCCGAAAAACGAAATCATTTCAAGTGTCCATTTCAAAAAACTTCCTAAATCTAATATTGCAAAGCCTGAACGCATTGCCCTAAAATCCTATTGTCAGCACCACCGGTTCTCCAACATATTCTCTAGCACAATATCTACCTTCCTTATTAAAATCATTTACAGGAAAAACTGATAGTTTCGTACTTAATTCCTTTCACTTCATTGAACAATTAAAAACTGTTATATTAGATCCACAAGATATTCTGGTTAGTTTCGACGTTTACCAAAGTCCCAATTCCTGAAACTCTCGTCATCATTTCATATATATTGAAGTCCGAGAATCTGAAACCAAACCTTCTCACCTTAATTGAAAAATGCTTGTCGGGAACATATTTTTCTTATAACGGTCAAATTTTTGAACAAACATCGGGAACAGCTATGGGTTCTCCACTATCACCAATGATCGCCAATATATATATGGAAGCCTTTGAGAAGAAAGCTCTCGACACCCTTTAATCTAAAGCCAAAATTATGGAAACGTTACATCGATGATGCTTTTGGTATTTGACCCCCTAGTAGATTTTTTTAGACATTTAAACTCTATACACCCCGACTTATGTTTTACCATTGAGTTGGAAACTAATAATAACCTACCATTCTTAGATATGCTTATCTATAGGAAATCAGACCTAACATTGGGTCATTGTCTTTACAGAAAACCTACGCACACAGACCGATACCTTAATGGATTGCATGGTTATCAACTCTCTTGTTTACAGAACCATAAAACTCTCTCAGCCCCCTAGTCACTGAATTCAGAATTAAAACAACTTACCTCTGCTCTTCTCAATAATAATGTCCACATTAAAGATGTTAAGCGTTCCATCACAAAATACACTTCACCGCAACCTTCCAATAGCAATGAGGCCGAAAGCAACCCTACACTTGCCACTGTGGTCCTTCCTTACATTCAAAATATCACTGACCACATATAAAAAGTTCTAAGGAAATATAATGTCAAAACCCGAGTTATCACTTGTCCAAAAAACTCTCAACATTTGAGATACCAGGAGTGCGGCAAAGAATACACTGGAGTGACCGGACGAAAAATATCAACTAGACTCAAAGAACATGAAAGAGCCTTAAGGCTAATACAAATAAACTCATCAGCAGTTGCAGTTGAACACAATCACGAAACCGGACATAAGATATTATTCGATAAAACTAAAATTCTTGCATGTAAATTAATTCTTCTACCAATGAAATTAATATTATTATTTTTTCTGAAAAGACTAAATTACATTAAGTATAGTATATACCTACTTTTAATACTTTTAGATATATTTTAACTTAGGTAAAATTAAGTGATCCGCGAAAAACATATGGTCCAATAACTTAAAACTCTTTTATTCCACACTACACATCAAGTGGTTTTGGTTAGTTTTGGTTATTTTAGTTGCACCGTTACTGCAAAAAGTAGCTTCATCGGAAAACATTATTTTAGATAAAACATTTGGATCGACCTCTATGTGTGCTAACTAGTATTTTTTTTAAAAAATTTAAATATTGGAAAAACTATTAGGGTTAGGCGTTGTTATTAATAAAAAAGAAATTAAAAGAAATTTAAAAAAATAATAAATGGGGAGTTCCACTTAAAAACAATTGTGTTTATTCGCTTTTTTGAGCCACCTTTAGACTTTTAAATAATTTTAAATTATGAATATCCATCTTTACAATTGTTATATTGCCCACTTTCTGATAACGTTTGATTTTTCAGGAAGTTTCTCAACCAGCGCAACAGTCCTGGTAGCATTATGGAATATTCTGGTGCCAATGCACGCAGCAGTCGATCCGAACTGCGACATGTATCAGGTAATGATAATCGGGAAGGAGTACTACATCCATAACAAAGAATACCCTCAAAACTACAGCCGAGGTTCATCGTGTAGATGGGTGGTGAAAAGTGATATCGGTACCAAAATTGTCTTGTCCTGTACCGATGTCTTATTGCCCAAGGTTGGTAACAACAAATTTATCAAAAAATAATCTTTCGTTTACAACAAAAAAATCTTCTAATGACAACTGCAACTGCAACTGAATGCAGTTTTTTTAAATAAAATCAAAAGAGAATATTTTTGTAGGGCAATAATCAATAGAAAATTTCAGGTTTCTTTAAATTAGTACTATTTTTGTTGCAGTCTTCAAATTGTCACGCTGACAAGTTGGCTATAACGTCAACCGGTCAGACTCTTCGAAATGCACATAATTACTGCGGGAGCGGAACATTTTCTACCATATCACAAGCAAACACCGTTAGAATCGGTAATTGTTTTTGAATAAAATCAGAGGTATTGGACTCTAGCAAAATAAAGCAAGGAATTTAGGCGTTCCTGGGGTGGGGTTGCATTTTTGAGAAAATCATTTCCCACTGATTTTAATTTATCTATTTTAATTTTTGTCTGTACAGTTCCATAGGTAAAATTCGAACTATTGGACGGCATCTTAAAGCCCCATTTAAATAAAAAAATACAAAATAAAGCATTGGGTTAACTATATTTTGTATAAAAAATCCTACAAAATTCACTCCGAGAGAGTGATTATATATATATATATATATATATATATATATATATATATATATATATATATATATATATATATATATATACAGGGTTTTTCACTTAAAACTCCGCACGCCAACAACTCCAAAACGAAAAGAAATATTTAATTTATGTAAAAAGTAGCCAAAGTGTGGGGTCAAGTAGATATTTCCTAAAGTTTAAAAAATTCGACGCCTGCAAAGAGCTGGGCGTCGCGACGCGTCGAAAAATTATTCGATTGCAGAGACTTTGGAAATACGCGCATACAAAAGTACATATTATTTAAAAACTTTTTTGTTATCTACTTATTATTATCAACTTATTTACTTTACCCGTTTCTAAGTTATACCGATTTAAAGTAAACATTTCTTGATTAATAAAAAATATGATTAACGCTTATTTTTACAAGTATGCCATGAATGTTAGTTACTATGGCAACCATTGTTATCGCAGTTGTTTTAAGTGCAATTACAAACAATAGATTTCAACTATTTTAGTATGATTTTATTTATTATTTTTTATCGATTTAGTTCTGATAACATGATAAATGAAAAGACAGTAAAATACCTACAAATTAATAACCAAAATTATTATTGTAATTAACTACATAATAAGACATTTCAAAAATTTTGTTCAAAATTATGTCTATCTGCTCGAACACAACTATTAAAAACTCTTAAGAGATGAGCTTGGGTCACTTGTACGAGAGTCCTTGTGATAGCGGCACACGCTGCACTAATTTTGTTAATGAGATCAGCCATATCTTCGATAGGTTTTTTAGGTAGCCCCAAAGAAAATAATCTGGTGGTGTAATGTCCGGGGACCTCGCCGGCCACCTTACCGGTCCATTAGTACCAAACCATCTATTGGGATATTCTCGGTTCAAATACCTCGTTACTATTTGGGCATTATGTGCAGGCGCTCCATCCAGCTGTAGCCACATATTCATTCTAGTGTCAAGAGGCACTTCTTCTAATAGTTCCGGAAGTGTAGTTTGAAGAAATCTTAAATAGCGATCTGCATTTAAAGTTCCTTCGTAAAAGTAATGTCCAATAAGGAATCCATTTAATATGTCACACCAAACATTGATACTAAAAATTCGTTGGTTACCTCTTTCTGTAATCCAAGGAGGATGGTTTTCGGACCAAAAACGACAGTTGTGTCTATTAACGATTCCATTATTTTGAAATCGACTTTCGTCGCTCCATAAAATTTTCGAGAGAAAATTTGCATCTTGGCTATACAAATCGGACAATATCGCTAAGAAACACATTCCTCTAGCATAATCGCCTGGTTGTAGTTTATGAACTAGTTTACTTTTGTACGGGTGAAAAGAGTTTCTATGTAGAATTCTCCACGAAGAACTTATGGTAACACCGGTATTTTCTTTTATCTCTGATAGGGATATCTTGGGGTTATTATCAACCTGCTGAATTACAGCAGCAGTATTTTCATCATTTGTAGCCGTCCTGTTCCTATGTCTTTTAGGTTTTATGAAGCTGCCATATTCTCTTAAGTTTTTACATAAACTTGAAAAGGTTTTTGCATCGGGGACTCTTCTATGCGGATAACGCCGTGCGTAAACTCTTTTTGCTTCTCTACAATTGCATCTGCATTCTTCAAACACCAGTAACATGTCTACTTTTTCCTCATTGCTAAATTGCACCATTTTCACATAATAATTCTTAGTTTTTTTTAAACCGAACAAATTTGGATATTTCCTGTGACAATTTTTTGATACAGCAATAACAACTTACGTTTGTAATTGTACTTAAAACAACTGCGATAACAATGGTTGCCATAGTAACCAACATTCATGGCATACTTGTAAAAATAAGCGTTAATCACATTTTTTATTAATCAAGAAATGTTTACTTTAAATCGGTATAACTTAGAAACGGGTAAAGTAAACAAATTTGAGTAAATAACAAAAAAGTTTTTAAATAATATGTACTTTTGTATGCGCGTATTTCCAAAGTCTCTGCAATCGAATAATTTTTCGACGCGTCGCGACGCCCAGCTCTTTGCATTCGTCGAATTTTTTAAACATATATATATATATATATATATATATATATATATATATATATATATATATATATATTCTCACGTATTGATTCACGGATGGAAAAATGTGATGACACTATATTCCGGGATATCATCCGTTCGCTCGTTGAACTCCGACTGGAATCCTGCATCCGACTGGAATCCTGCAAATCTTGCATCCGACTGGAATCCTGCAGACGTTTCGCCAAAATCTCACTTGGCATCTTCAATGCTCGCGCTCCGAGTGTTCGAAGTGTTTTCGGAGCGCGAGCATTGAAGATGCCAAGTGAGATTTTGGCGAAACGTCTGCAGGATTCCAGTCGGATGCAAGATTTGCAGGATTCCAGTCGGATGCAGGATTCCAGTCGGAGTTCAACGAGCGAACGGATGATATCCCGGAATATAGTGTCATCATATATATATATATATATATATATATATATATATATATATATATATATATATGTTTCTTCAATAATACAAGCGTTTCCTCAATCACTTAATATTTATTGAATTTTTCTTTTCTATAAATGGACTGTATCTCACTTTGCGGCGACGTCGCGACCCATGCCGTGAACGTCTACCCCGTAACACTACAAAATTGTTACTAGCCTAGCAGAAACGTAGATCTTGTCGGTTTGGCGTACAATGCCCTGTTGTCACATTGACTGAAATGTCCGGCATGTTTAAGATACACAAAATTAAAAAGAAATTCACATAATTTTGAACGCAACATACCCCCAGCCTTGAAAGAACCCTCTTTCAAAAAAGAAAAACAACAAATCAAACATTTCTTGAAACTCAATTTGTCTTAGACAACCTTTGAAACCACTTGAACTGAGGTTTTTTCTCACCCACTTTCGTGAAACAATGGACACACTTTTGCGAATGAACGTTTGATGACACCTTCACTCGTTTTTACATCAGCCACCCGATTAATGTTGTCCTTTCCTGGGTATAACTGAACGATGCGTCCCATTTTCCAACACAAGGGAGGCACATTTTCTTCTTTCACGATCACCAATGTCCCTTCCTGCAGAGTGTCCCCGCCAGCCTTCCATTTGACGCGCCTCTGAAGTTCAGCGATGTATTCCAGTGACCAACGAGACCAAAAACCTTGTTGGTATTGTTGAATACGTTGATAGCTAGCAAGCCTATTTTCAGGTTGCTCGAGCAATCGTGGGTCCGGTAATGAGGTTGCCCTTCTTCCGATCAGGAAATGGGATGGGGTTAAAACGTCCAAGTCAGAAGGATCAGAGGACATCGGAGTGAGAGGACGTGAGTTTAAAATGGCCTCTATTTGACACAACAAAGTAGAAAAATCCTCATAAGTCAAATTTGCGTTGCCCACAGCTCTTTTTAAATGGTATTTTACACTTTTTACCCCTGACTCCCATAAACCCCCAAAATGAGGCGAATATGCCGGAATAAAAGACCAATTAACTCCTTCTGTCGCAATCAATGTCTTTAAACTGACATGATTATTACGCAAAAATTTTCCCAACTCTCTCAGTTCTGTCTGAGCACCCACAAAATTTTTACCATTGTCTGAAAACATTTTTTCTGATTTGCCCCTCCTGAAAGTTGCAACAAATGCTTGCGTAGACAGACTTGTTACAGCCTCTAAATGTACTGCACGTGTGCAAAAACAAATAAACAAACAAACATACCCCTTGTACAAACGCGTGCCCCGTCCCAAAGCTATTTTAAAATTGAACGGCCCTGTATAATCAACCCCGGTGGTATTGAATGGAAATTGTGGGATCACTCGTGCCTTAGGTAGGTTTCCCATCTGTATTTCAAAGGACCTAGGTTGAACCTTCGAACACACAACACATTCATGCACCATCTTTCTCACAACATTTCTGCCCTTTAGTGGCCAATAAATTTCCCTTAATGAACTGAGCACTAATTGAGGGCCTGCATGCAATAGTCTCAAATGCTCTGCCTTAACAATCAATTTTGTACATGGATGTTTTGGGTCTAACACAATTGGGAATTTTTTGTCATATTTAAATTCTGAAAGTGCTAGTCTTCCGCCTACTCTGATTAATCCGTCGGCGTCTAGAAACGGATTTAAATTTGACAACCAACCCTTTTTTATCTTCTCACCGGTCTCCAAGATTTTCTGCTCATTTTCGAAACATTCATCTTGTGATAACCTTATTAACATTTTTTCAGACTCTTGGAGTTCCTTCACTGTCAAATTCTTTGATTCGTGACTATCCAATTTTCTGCAACGTGCCGTAAACCTTAAGCAATATGCAAATACACGTTTCAATTTTGTCCAACTGGAATATCTGGAAAAAATCTCTAGACTATTCTTCTCTGTATTCAAAAAAGCTTTTACTCGCTTCCTCCTTTCTGGAAGTTCCTCTAAAGGTACATTAACACCCTGAATTGGAAAGAAATCTTGTGACAACCATTGTGGACCTTCAAACCACAATTTATTTCCACACAACTTGGAAGGAAAAAGTCCCCGGGATACTAAGTCTGCGGGGTTTTCTTCTGACCGCACATAATACCAATTGTCTTGATCCGTCATAGACTGAATTTGAGATACTCTATTTGCGACAAACGCTTGGAATTGATTTGCTGGTGATTTTATCCAATTTAATGTTACTGTAGAATCGCTCCACAAAAACAGTTTCCTGAAATTTAACGTCATGGAAGTTTGTACTTCTTTTATCAACCTTGAAAGTAATAATGCACCTGACAATTCCAATTTCGGTATGGTTAGTGCCTTTATCGGGGCAACTTTACTTTTTGCACACAATAAGCGAACGACTACACTTCCATCCTTCGTGACATTTCTGACATAGACACATGCTCCAAACGCTTCTTGTGCAGCATCACAAAATCCATGAAGTTCTATGTCCTCTGCATTGTTGCTACCTACATGTCTTGGAATATGCAGCATGTTTAATTTCACCATTTCTTGCTTAAATTGTTTCCACTCTTGGGCAATATTGGTCGGTACTTCATCGTCCCAATCCAACTTGAGAATCCACAATCTTTGTAAAATAATTTTGGGAATGACGACACATGGGCTGACTAACCCAAGTGGATCGAACAGCTGGGCAATTTCTGACAGAATCTTCCGTTTTGTCGTACTTGAATTACTTGAAAATTCCCTCACCCTGTAGGTAAAGATATCTGCCTGACAGTCCCAATACAATCCCAAAGTTTTGTGTTGATGCTCTCCTAGATTAAGAGTTTGTAATTCTGCTTTGGGCCTTACTCCAAATTGTTCCAAAAACTCTTTCTTGTTCGAACTGAACTTTCTGAGCTCAAACCCACCAGATTTTAAAACTTCACAAACACCCTTACATTTCTGAAGTGCCTCTTGAATTGACGAGGCCCCTGATATCAAATCGTCAACGTAGAAGTCCTTGCCAATTACCTTTGAAATCTGCGTTTGTTCGCAATTTTTTGCCAGTTCCTGCAAACACCTTACCGCTAAAAATGGACTTGAGGTTAATCCAAACGTCACCGTGTTTAAATTGTAGACCTTGACTTCTTCTGCTGGATTTTCTCTCCACAGTATCCTTCGTAAATGGCGTTGATCTTCCCTAACCCATACTTGTCGGTACATTTTGGCGATATCTACGCAGAATGCTACTTCATGTTGTCTAAACCTCAACAAAATTGAAATGATATCCTCTTGAATTCTTGGCCCCGAAAATTGCAAATCGTTAAGTGACACACCCGAGTCTGATTGTGCAGAGCCGTCATACACAACCCTTAACCTTGTTGTAGAACTTCTTTCATTTTTCACAGCATGATGTGGTAAGTAATAACACCTTTCATTCGTGATGTCCTCACTTACTTGAGTCATGTGACCTACTTGTTCATACTCTCTCATGTATTCCAAAGAGTAAAATCTCCTCAATGCCATCTCTCGAGAATCTCCCAACTTTTCAATACTCATTTTCAATGGGATTGCAACAACAAATCGACCATCCTGATCACGTCTTGTTGTTGACATAAACAAATTTTCACAATCAGCTTCATCCCGTGTCATTCCCTCGATTTGACTTCCACCTGGCTCTTCTAGTTCCCAAAACTTGGCCAGTTGGTCTTGTACCTCTGTACCGATACTTAGGTTGCACACCGTTTTCGTAGGTTTGACTAGAGATCCTTGTCCACTGATGTAGCCCGCTACTACCCATCCTAACCAAGTGTTTTGTAAGACAGGTTTGTTTTCCCCTAATTCGATTCTTCCTACTCTTATGAGTTTCCAGAACACACCTGCACCAATTAACATATCCACTTCATCAGGCAAATGAAATTCACTGTTTGCTAGACAAATATTTCCTGGAATATTTATTGGCCCTAACTCAATTTCACACAAAGGAATCTCATCACTAATTTTCGGAATGATTAAACAACTGATAGGAATTTTGAAATCACCTTTCTGAGAACTGATTTCTACTTCACACCGTTTCGAAATCTTTTCAGTGTTTTGACCAATCCCAACCACACACACATTCGCATCTTTTGTTTTTAACTGAAGTCTGTCACACATTTTTTCAGTGATAAAATTGCTCATTGAAGCTGAATCTAACAAAACCTTGCAATGATGCACATTGCCACTCACATCTTTTATTTTGACAATCGCTGTAGAAAGTAACACCTGACCTTGAGTCCCACAATTTCTACTCGATAGCGCCACAGAGGTTTTACTTCCTTCCTTTGAAGACGCTTCTACAGCTTTTTGTACGTCAGCAATTGGGGCACTTTCAACACTGCCATGTTCAGTTTGGCGTTGGTTATAAAAATGTAATAGAACATTATGCCCTAAACCACACTGCGAACATTTTTTCCCTTGACAATTAAAACTAAAATGCTTGTTCGAAAAACAACACATGCATAATTTGTTTCGTTTTATTTGCGCAATTCTCTGGCTGGTTGTTAGCTCCAAAAATTTCTTACACTCGCTGATGTCATGAATTACCTCCTTTGCTGGAGCCTCAAGTGATGCACGCAAATAGTGAAACTTTTGAATGTCGCCAATCGACTTATTCTTGTGAATTAAACTATCAAACGTGTCTCTAAATTCCAACCACTTTGAGTAGTTTCCAGCAAACGTTGGTAAGTTTATTAAAGGTAATCGTACACCCATCGTTTCATTAGAATTTGGCCGTAAATTTTCCTGAAAAATGACAGAGTTGGAATCCGAATGCGTAATATTTTGCAAACACTCATTTTTGTTGTTCGTATCATTTAAATCACCCAAAATATTCTTTGCCTTTGCGACAATATTGTAAAATTCTGTTTGGAAAACTTCCCTTTCATTAAATTGGCTCTCTAAATCTGTTTCCGAACATATTACCTCAATTTCACTTTGATATTGTTCAAAAATATCTAATAACTCGATTATTTTCTCTGTTCTAAATTGCAATTGCATAAACACTTCTTTCTCTGAAGATGCGCTTTCAGTTTGCACATTGAAATTTGTTAAATACCTTTTAAATTGAGATAAGCTCGCTTTTACACTAGCTCGCTTTCTAATTAATTGGTTTAATTGCTCAGCCATTTTGCTGATTTTTTACACACAAAATAGAGACCACAAACTACAAAATCCAACAAAGGTTTGAAAAGGATCGACTTACAGGTTAACAGCGACTTTTTTTCTAAGTCCGGCCCTTACTGTCTCGTCCTCCGTCGCGTCGTAGCAACGCTGCGTGATCGTACGACCCGCACGTACAATTTCCAACGCTGCGCCGCGCTCGCCGATAAACTCCACGGCACCCCAACGACGACCTTCAAACAATGCTTTGTGCACCGCGCCGCTCCGCCTTGTCCCAGCTGCGCTTTTTTGCTTGCCGGCGTTCGTTTACGGACTCGTAAACGTTTTCCTCACAATTTTCACACAATTTTCTTTGCGAATACAGATGATCCAACAATCTGTACTTCGCAATTTCCTCGTTTTTCACTTTTGCGGAACACTCAATAATTCTCGCAATTGAAAACTCTCCACTCGATGGATCACAATCCCGTTCGATGGACCACTATGTTTCTTCAATAATACAAGCGTTTCCTCAATCACTTAATATTTATTGAATTTTTCTTTTCTATAAATGGACTGTATCTCACTTTGCGGCGACGTCGCGACCCATGCCGTGAACGTCTACCCCGTAACACTACAAAATTGTTACTAGCCTAGCAGAAACGTAGACCTTGTCGGTTTGGCGTACAATGCCCTGTTGTCACATTGACTGAAATGTCCGGCATGTTTAAGATACACAAAATTAAAAAGAAATTCACATAATTTTGAACGCAACAATATATATATATATATATATATATATATATATATATATATATATATATATATATATATATATATATATATATATATATATATGTTTAAAAAATTCGACGAATGCAAAGAGCTGGGCGTCGCGACGCGTCGAAAAATTATTCGATTGCAGAGACTTTGGAAATACGCGCATACAAAAGTACATATTATTTAAAAACTTTTTTGTTATTTACTCAAATTTGTTTACTTTACCCGTTTCTAAGTTATACCGATTTAAAGTAAACATTTCTTGATTAATAAAAAATGTGATTAACGCTTATTTTTACAAGTATGCCATGAATGTTGGTTACTATGGCAACCATTGTTATCGCAGTTGTTTTAAGTACAATTACAAACGTAAGTTGTTATTGCTGTATCAAAAAATTGTCACAGGAAATATCCAAATTTGTTCGGTTTAAAAAAAACTAAGAATTATTATGTGAAAATGGTGCAATTTAGCAATGAGGAAAAAGTAGACATGTTACTGGTGTTTGAAGAATGCAGATGCAATTGTAGAGAAGCAAAAAGAGTTTACGCACGGCGTTATCCGCATAGAAGAGTCCCCGATGCAAAAACCTTTTCAAGTTTATGTAAAAACTTAAGAGAATATGGCAGCTTCATAAAACCTAAAAGACATAGGAACAGGACGGCTACAAATGATAAAAATACTGCTGCTGTAATTCAGCAGGTTGATAATAACCCCAAGATATCCCTATCAGAGATAAAAGAAAATACCGGTGTTACCATAAGTTCTTCGTGGAGAATTCTACATAGAAACTCTTTTCACCCGTACAAAAGTAAACTAGTTCATAAACTAGAACCAGGCGATTATGCTAGAGGAATGTGTTTCTTAGCGATATTGTCCGATTTGTATAGCCAAGATGCAAATTTTCTCTCGAAAATTTTATGGAGCGACGAAAGTCGATTTCAAAATAATGGAATCGTTAATAGACACAACTGTCGTTTTTGGTCCGAAAACCATCCTCCTTGGATTACAGAAAGAGGTAACCAACGAATTTTTAGTATCAATGTTTGGTGTGACATATTAAATGGATTCCTTATTGGACATTACTTTTACGAAGGAACTTTAAATGCAGATCGCTATTTAAGATTTCTTCAAACTACACTTCCGGAACTATTAGAAGAAGTGCCTCTTGACACTAGAATGAATATGTGGCTACAGCTGGATGGAGCGCCTGCACATAATGCCCAAATAGTAACGAGGTATTTGAACCGAGAATATCCCAATAGATGGTTTGGTACTAATGGACCGGTAAGGTGGCCGGCGAGGTCCCCGGACATTACACCACCAGATTATTTATTTTCTTTGGGGCTACCTAAAAAACCTATCGAAGATATGGCTGATCTCATTAACAAAATTAGTGCAGCGTGTGCCGCTATCACAAGGACTCTCCTACAAGTGACCCAAGCTCATCTCTTAAGAGTTTTTAATAGTTGTGTTCGAGCAGATAGACATAATTTTGAACAAAATTTTTGAAATGTCTTATTATGTAGTTAATTACAATAATAATTTTGGTTATTAACTTGTAGGTATTTTACTGTCTTTTCATTTATCATGTTATCAGAACTAAATCGATAAAAAATAATAATCATACTAAAATAGTTGAAATCTATTGTTTGTAATTGCACTTAAAACAACTGCGATAACAATGGTTGCCATAGTAACCAACATTCATGGCATACTTGTAAAAATAAGCGTTAATCACATTTTTTATTAATCAAGAAATGTTTACTTTAAATCGGTATAACTTAGAAACGGGTAAAGTAAACAAATTTGAGTAAATAACAAAAAAGTTTTTAAATAATATGTACTTTTGTATGCGCGTATTTCCAAAGTCTCTGCAATCGAATAATTTTTCGACGCGTCGCGACGCCCAGCTCTTTGCATTCGTCGAATTTTTTAAACATATATGTATATATATATATATATATATATATATATATATATATATATATATATATATATATATATATATTCTCACGTATTGATTCACGGATGGAAAAATGTGATGGATGACACTATATTCCGGGATATCATCCGTTCGCTCGTTGAACTCCGACTGGAATCCTGCAGACGTTTCGCCAAAATCTCACTTGGCATCTTCAATGCTCGCGCTCCGAAAACACTTCGAAACACTGGGAGGTTATCGGCGGTGCGTACGGTATTTATACTCTGCGCCGGAGATGGTAACGGTGCTGCTTGTGCGTGGGGGGAGGTGGCTCCGCCCCCTGAATTGTCGCGTTGTTAATTTCGCCCGATCGTAGTTGCGATGTCTAACTAACCAAAACAAATAAAACGTTAACTCCATAACCCATTTGCTCTGAAAACATTTTTATCAGGTTTAAAAGAACCTTTGGAAACAACAATTAGACGTAAGTAACTTGGTACCCTGTCAAAAATAGGCATAACCGAAATAATTTTAGGCAACAGCAACAGCCGTTTGCCACCGGTCCAATCAATAGTAAGCCACGTTATAGACAAATTCTTATGCTTTTGGTAAACCGCAAATCGTTTTCAGACCCAGCCACATAAAAGTCTTCCTCCACCCATGTTGGTTTCTACACAAAACAGTGGCATACCATAATTTAATAAACAAAATAATCTTTAAAACAATCATGTGCCAAGTACATCTCAAAAGCTGCAAAATATGGAAGCCGATGAGTTGTGCAACTCTGAAATCAATCGATACAATCAATTAAATCAATATCATATTACCGAGATTATAAATCACATTGTAGCAACTATTATCAGCAAGATAACACAGAATACGTTGTACCGCTGGAACCGCCGACTCGTCCGTCCGCTGATAACTTTCAACCTGAAGTTAAATGAAAGCCTAAATCTTACCGAGGTCCCACAAATAAACCAGAAAACTTAATTCCCACGCATGTATCTTTAAATATGACTATTTTAAATGAACTCCACAATTTTTTCCGAGCATAATTTTAAAATCTTGATAAATTTCGAAGAAACGATTTAGCACATAAAAATGCTATCCAGTTGTATTTGTTACCATCCATTAATTGTTCGTGAGGAATAGGTGACGAAAATATAGGGAAATAATTCCTTAAATATTGCTTACATTTCGGTTGATCAACAGACTAATTTCTAGGGCTAATTTATATTTTTCCTTGGGACAGTTATCCTGGTAGATTAGTGTTTATATTTCAATCATTCATGTTCACTTGGCCAGAGTTTTATAGTGAAATACGGTCCAGTACTTCCGTGCTTACGTTTCAAATTCTAAGAAATTTTTTTTTCTTGCCTCATCGACAGACACCTCATTTGCTCTGACGTCTACGGCAGTGCTGCCAGGTTAAGAAAAGTCGTAATTTAAGTCGCATTATTTAGCTGTTATTACTAATCTTGTAAATACTCACTTCGTAATAAATAGTCTCCTTAAAAATATTCCTTTTATCAATAAAGAATTAATTTAATCCGATAGCAGCATAAATATTTGCATATTTTCTTTCGCGTTCGCAAAACAAATTCATACCGCTAATATCATTGGGCGTATGACTTTATGCACGAAGTTCCGTGATTTCTCTCCTTTTCTCCATCTCTCTCGAATATCTGAGGAAGTACTCTCTATGGCAAGGAATTCTTATTCAGTAATACTCCAACTATACCAATTTTAACAATGTTTCATTACAGGGTGTTTGAAATATTGAAATATCAAAATTTATTGACGTCGGCATACTGTTTCCTTTGTAAAAGTTTGCCATGGAGAAGCGAACATTCGACTGTCAAGTTCATTCGCTAATTTATATTTTAATTTTGATTACATTATACCTTTCGAATACTAAGATTTATTAACTTTGTTGTTTTCAGATGATACTTTAAAATGAATGTCTCTTGAAAAGTCTTTTTTAACAATATTTTTGGACTTTGTGTAATTAAAATTTCTATTTGTTATTTACAAGGTTTACCTATTTTTTTAAAACATTAAAACCTTTGGTCATTGGTCTAGTTACTTCTAGGTAGTCCTGAATACGAATCTGTAGTCATTTTCAATTTGAAAAAATCTCTAAAAGAACTTCTCGATTTTTCGCATCGGTTAGCCATGACTTTAGTCGATGCTATATGATGATGCTATCTCTTGTAAAGGCTTTAGCAGTTCTCTCAAATACACGTATTTTGCATTCCAGGATGTTCGACCAAATATGACGTTGGTTTTACCCGAATTTAAGTGCCCTGTTGCAATTACCTCTAAAGTGATGGGGGTGCTTTTGAAATTCGCAGCTCGAACTCCTTGCATCGTCGTTTTTTACGGGCAAAGAAAAGGCTTGCTTTTTTACTCACATTTCGACTGAGACATTAACAGGAACCTGCAAAAGTATTTATAGCATAATACCTAAATATTTAAACCCACTATTTCCTAACACTCTGATTATTGTACATCGAAACGGGTCGAAAGGTTCAGGATTGGTAAATAAACTTATAAACAAACTTACTATCGAACTGCATAGTAATAGTGGTCGCCTATTCAGCGAATTGGGTACCCATTTACAAAAAAGAATAAATAAAGGTGATTCTGGTATAAATACCATAGAAGCTGCTTGTAAAGAGCACGATATAGCATATTCTCAGTCTAACGATTTAACGAGGAGACACGAACCACACAAGATCTTAAAGGATAAGACTTGGCAAAGGAATAAAGCAAAAGCACTCTTCGTTTGGAGAAAATTCAGCATTTCAGAGGCGTTTTTATGCGTGATAATCTGCAGCAAAAAAATCAAATTAAAGAATGCGGAATTTTTTTTAACTGAACGGCGAATTGATTGGGTGAGCTATATAAAATACAAAACTAAGGCTTTCTTCATATATTACAATTATACAACCAAACAAAAGTCCAGTTCTTACAAATGCGGGCATTTATCAGTGATAGATTCATAATATCCACTACCCGGCTTTAATACGAACCAGCAACGATTTAGACGCGGTGGAAAATTCCAAAATTTATGACAAATAATGCCGAAGAACTTGCTCTAACGAAAATCATGGAGTCTAATAAAGAGATAACAATGGATCTTGGGAAATTATTGAAACCACAACTCGTACGTGGTCCGTAGAAACAAAAAATAAACTACAGACGCAAATCATTATCCACGATAATAGGAAAGGTCAAGTAGAAAAGTAGAAAAAAATTTGATGACGTCAATTTAACTAATATAAAAGTATTTTTAAATTCGGAACCATTTTAAAAGAAAAAACAAGTATTCGACTCCAGTTGATATGGTTGCTAATTTTTGGCACTCTTATTACGGAACATCGAACGAGGCAATTTTCACACGTAGCAAAGAAAAATGTCCCATTACACACATCGATGGTTCTCATCAAAATGGTTTTGTAGTAATGCGAATTGAATTTGAAACTAGCGCTAATATCCAAAAGGATACATCGGTTTACTGTCTCATTTTACATGACGAAGTATTTAGTTAGAATCCCCTAACTGAAATAGTAAAACAAATTCAACGGTTTTTAAAAAGATTCGCAAATTATATGTTCAAAAAATTTGCCACAAAATATTCGGCGAAACAGTACATTTTTGGCGGTTGTCATCACGCGGATAGTGGCGTTAGATATTCAAGGTTTTAATCTAAAGGACGCTGTAGGTTTCGTCGCTAAAGAGATTGCAATTTATGACGGAAATCTACTTACTTACTTACAAGGCGCAGAGAGCGAAGCGTATATTGCGTACCTTGGCTCAAGCGTTTTCACCACGGATTAAAATACCTTATAGATTATAAACCTTATCGACGAATTGATTACGCGGTTGGTTCACACTGCGCACCTAAAAGGGCAAGCAAAAACAGATTTTTGACTTCGAAGATCGAACAACTACAGGTATCCCGACCTTTGATTGTTAATATGTGTGCACCTTCCATATGAACGGTAGATTACACCTGTGTGCCTTACGAAAATCTGTATTATTATTTCATTGATTATGTGCTCAAATTCCTATATGAAAAAACTATAAAAAGGTATGCTTTCAAAATTTGCAATTTTATGTCGACCGGCATATGTAAAACAGACTAACGCAAAGCGAGCAAATAAGCAACGTTGATGAACTTCGGGCGTGATATCATACGACTCGCTGGTTATGTGGCATAGGTTATTTAATAAGCAGGAAAACAATTTAAACCTGCCTCCACAAAATAAATGTCCGCTTTGATTTAGTGTTATAAAAATAAGAACATTAAATTAAATCGTCTCAGTTAAGTGCTCAAAATGTTTTATTAACAGCGTACGTTTGTTTTAAAAATGACGTTTGGTCGGAAGAATGGAGTTGGCTGTATCCCATTATCTCGGCGAATGGCAAAGATTGCTTTCAATAGTAGCAGCTACCGCAGCGATAATTCCAAAAAGTATTAATTCTACTGTGTCTAGTGACGGGTACACCTTCGCAAGAAGGGATCGATCTGTATAAATTTTGGGCGTATAGTCCAAAACTCCTAAATCAACCGTGACTCAAAAAGTGTACTCAACTCAGCAAAAAAAAAGGAAATGTCTACTGGCCTTATTAGGATCAAGGAAAACATGCTGTTTGAAATTTACAACACTGGTGCTCGTTTCACCGGCAGGGACAAATACATGGATTTTCAAGTAGAAGAATTTTCGGATTTTCTAAATTTCCTGAACAAAAGAGAAGGTATTGAAAAAATTATGTCAATCAGGCATCGTCTTTTTGACTCTATGAATTTATACTGAGTCGTAAATATATAATCAATAAATCAATAAATTTTATTTGTAACCCGTATATACCGGTCTATTATTTGTTTCTAGCTGACAGCAAAACGATTAGATGTTTACGCCGCTTCCTTAATTCTTTAGCTCTTATCTTTCTTGAGAAATTTAACCAAACCTTCCAACAAGTGTGTCAAAATGACAAATAACTAGAATAGGAAATTAATCAAATAGGTCTAAATGTTTAAAAATCAGCTTATAGAGAGATTTCAATGTTTAATAAAGATGTATTGGTATAGGTCATTAACAAATATGAAGTTCTAATAATTTTACAAGATTTCGAAAATTCGAGTTTCTCAAAATTAAAAATTATTGACCCTATAATAAATAAAATTAAAGACTTATTTAACGCACTTTCTATTTTGCAAACTAAAGTAGGAAAAGAACGTATATATAGCTGCAACTTTAGAAAACACTTCTATTTTTGAAAAAGTAATTAAGGTTGATTGTTTTATTTTGAATAATAAAATGAATTACCCTGCCAAACACCTGTTCAATTTTTACGCAACAATCTTCTTTGGATTGAAATATAGCTGTTTAAATTTAAATGCCATTACTGATTGGTTCACATTCTTCCGAATAGCTTTTCCAGCAGCAAAATTAAATTGCACTTCTTCCCGCCGTTCTAGAAACGTTTTATATTTCATTGAATTTATTGTAGGCCATGCCGATGAAATTTCGAATTTCACATGGCAAAACGTACGTTTATTAGGCTACAATCCTTGGAGGACAAGAAACGGGCGTCAACGAGTACCCTTCGATGGCGGGGCTGGTAAATCTGAACCCTTTCATCATAATTTGCGGGGCTAGCATAATCTCTGAATTTTTCGTGTTGACCGCCGGTCATTGCGTCTACAATAGAGATCGCAGCACGTTTTCGGTTTTAGTGGGCGGGCACAACATCACTTCAGGTAATGCAATATCGTCAGTTTCACGTAAAATCTCGCGCGTATTGCGATCAAAATACAAAGTATCGATTTGTCTATAGGAATCGATATTTCGATATCCGCATAGTGGGTTTCATTCGACAAACATTAAGTAAACGTCGTTGCTACTCCCTCTCCTCTACTCCCGAATTCTACTTTTCTCTTTCTACTCTTTCTACTCCCGAATCCAAATTATACCGGGTGTGCGGGAAAGTCTCTGAGATTTAGATAAGGCACGAAAAAATTTTTTTTTCTATAGGCGCAACCTACGGAGCTATGACTCTCAAATGGATACCACCGAATTTTTTTATTAAAAAAAAATAAAACCACAAATTCAATTTTTCCAAATTGTGTTTTCCTCGTGGTTTATAGTTCTTCCCGCCATATTTATTTTTTTATAATGATGGCCTTATGCATTTTTGATTTACCCTGTATCATAAGTCTAGCTAACTGCATTAAATTTAATGTTAATAACGAGGATCGTAGATACTTACACTAAAGTGGATTTCATCTGTTTCGGGATAGTAACTAGTCAAATCTGTTTTAAGTGGTCAATTTTATTATCCATATCCAGAATTTTAAATCAATAAAATGTTAAAATTTTTTGAATAAAACTAAATTCAAGTTTACAATTACAATTGCAATATTTAACGTTGTATTTAAAATATGAAAAGCTCAATTTCTTAAGAACTATTAATGGCCTCGTTTATTTAAAGCTATACCAAGTGCCCACAAAGTATGAAAACGGTGGAATACCTGAAGAATTATAAAACTGTTTCATAACACCTAACAAGACCCTGATTCCATGAACACGGTGGTAGAGGGAGAACAACTTTGACATCTCATTTTTCTTTTGTTTCTCGGTTAATGGCACTGTATTAGCAAAAAAGATGATTTATCGTATTTGTCAAAAATCCGACTTTATTGTTAGCTTCAACATGTTTTTCCACTCCCTAATCCAAAATGTCTAATTATGCACTTATCCATTTATAAATTAAATGAAATGTCAAAGGGGGTATATACCATTTTTGATATATTAACATTTTGTGTAAGAATTGTAGTACCTGTCGTTCTGCATGTCTTGAGAAAAGAAATATGTGCCTATTGTAATAATTTAGTAACCTACTTTTTGTCTTATTGTTACGAACACCGGCAATTATAACCATTGTAAATTTAAACAGTTTTTAAATCTACCGAAAACAATTTGATCGTTCGCGATCTAGAGAAATGCAAACGCTCGAATTGACCCGCGACAGTGTTTAATGAAGCTGACATTTTAAAGTGACACTTTGGTAACGAATGATGAATGCATAATTGGGATTTTAGAGAATTTCTTGACAAACATGATAGATAAATGGCCTGGAGGTTACAGCACGAGCTACCGAGAATTCAGAATCAAATTTCGGGCAAAACCTGATATTTTTATGGCACAGAATCCGAATCTGTACTGATTTTATGATTTTAAATTGGATGACAACGTAGTTAGGAGCGGCTTAAATGGCAGCATTAAGTTGTTATTAAACCTTTTCTTTCCTTCTCAAATATCTTGCGACCGTATTTATGTTTAATCTGTATATTTAAATCTTGAATTATCTTATTGTTTTTGTTGTTGCCTTTATTTTTATTATTATGCGAAACAAATATTAAAAAGTGCGAGATAAAATTAGGATATTGAACGACCGACCTATATTTATAAGAATAATTTGCCTTTTAGGAACCACCCCTTATTCGAAGATTTATAATGTTAACACCTACGAAATCTTCCCCAACTTCAGTCTAATTAATACGGTGATAGATGACATCGCGATCATTAAAACTCAAAACCAAATAGTGTTTAGTTTATATATCGGTCCCATATGCTTACCATTTCGGTACAAAACCTCCGATTTCGTTGGTCAACTTGTTACGGCATTGGGTAAGTTTCTACAATCAAAAACGCTGTAGTTTAGATCTAAAAAATTTGGAAGTGACTTTAACAGTATTGTTTTTGGAATTATTAAAAATGTTGTTTCTCTCCAAGTCATTTTCCGAAAAATATTTTAGTATCATTTCTTCTTAAAATACATGTTTTTGAATTGCCAAATAGAAGATATGGACTATAACTTGCATAGTAAACAATGCCTAGATGAACATGATCAATTTAAAATATTTTATAAATGGATTGATAACCAGAATACGTGAAAAATCTAATATTGGTAGGGTCACTTTTCACGTAGAACTTGACATGTTCGACCAACGTTTTTGGGGATATTAAGAGGCGGTTGAGGTTAATAATCCCATAGAATTTAGTTTTATTTTCTTTGTTTTCTATTTTCAGTTTTTCTTTGCTCACGTTATATACGGATATTTTGTAGTACCTCTATGAATAAGTAACTTTGTATCTCGTTTTACGTTTGTTACTGTATTAGGATGGGGTAGCCTGAACGTTTCCGATAGCCAATCGGACGTGCTAAGGAAGACAAGTCTCACTGTAATTTCAAACCAGCAGCGCGCCCGGGACCAGACTGAGAATATCAACAACAATCATATATGTACATTTACTCTGAGACATCGCGAGTGCGCTGGTGATTCTGGAGGCCCGTTGCTGTGGATGGATCCGAGCACTCAAAGGTTGCATCTTATCGGGATCATATCCCACGGGCTCGACTGCAATATCGACAGTCCCTCAATTAACACCAGGGTTACTTCGTATTTGGATTGGATCGTTGCCAGAACTGGTATGTAAATTGCTGATGTGTATGATACGGAAACCTTACTTAATTCATTCGTAAAATTGAGGCTTAGCTAAAGTCTGACATAATTATTAAAATGGAAACCTTTATAATATTATAAAACCATTTTGGTTAGTTATTAGACCTCTTACAAAAGTAAAAAAAAAATATTATAAAAGTTAAGGTTTCTTATAAATTTATAATAAAACCTTAAGCTGCGAGAAGTGTTAATTAATTAATGTAATTAATATATTTGTGTCTGAATATTAAGAAAACCTTCATTGTCCAATGCACCTGAATAAATTGTAAAAATTTCTAGGACAAGCCAATTTGTAATTTTTATGTACATTTGCAAGTTACTTTTAAACTTTATTTTGAAAATTTTGTTTTGTTTGCGATGTTTGTTCGTGCTAATAATTATTTTTCAAAGAAACTTCCGCAGGATGCTCGTGGCTTCTTTAAAGCATTGTCTGAAACTGATTTGATGATTGTTCTGCACGCACCTTAAATACCGGCCTGGTCGAATGGTAGGGAGAGTTTTAATTGCTTCGCGGATGACACCTGTACCGCGGTTTATATTATTGGGCTGTTTGATTATTGCGATAAATTCACAATTTTTTCTTGAATAAAAGAGAGGGTTAGAGGCAAGTATTTGGTATTGTCGCATAAAACGAGGCTTCCTGTTTCGTGACGATGTTCAGAAACCGCTGATGTAATTATTTCTCGAATTCTGAGTGATCTCTGGTATTTTTTAGTCTGCTTGATATTTTTAGATCTGTTTCTTCGATTAAGTCTTTGCCGCAGTTTCACGGTATGCTGTCTCATGCAAAATTTTACCTTTAACCGATCGCAGAGATCGGGAGATTATAGGACAAGAAATCGCTGACATTTTTAAAATATTTCAATGGCAAACGGGAGTTGGATTCTGTAAGTGGTTTTGTTGAAGTGTATTTTTTAATAGGCCGTCTGATATCTTGATAATGGAAATTGTTGGTGAGAAAAACTGAATTGAACATGGATGATTTTTACGTTTTTTACATATCGATCCGTATGAGTCGGTTTTCTATAGACGAAATGGCCCAAGGTTAAAGCTGGTTTTCGATTAATAAAAACGTCTATAAAGTGAAGGGTGTTGTTATTTTCGAATTCGATTTTGAAATTGATGTTTGTATGTATGGAGGTTAGATAGTTCGTCCACATTTTATTTTTATGTGTAACTTATCAGTGCCTAGTTTTTCAAAATGTAACACAAAATATTTGTGATGCATGGGAAATCGCGGATCCGATGTTCCTAATATTTGTTCGTAAATTTGTTTGTTACATCCCAAATCTATTTTTTTTATTAATATGAGAAATTCTGCAGGGAGGTTTTCGGGAGAGATTTAACTTGGAAACTAACTATAATGTCGTCTGCATTTAACTTAATACTTTTTAGTTGTTGAATAGAATGATAAAAATGAGGTACAAAGCTAAGACTTTTTCCAAGGCAGAGTCAACACGATACAAGACAGAAGATGTGCATCTACAAGTAAATATTTTCTTTATATTTCACGATGCAGCATTTCTCGAAGAACTTGAACAAATTACACCTTTTTACTTAAAAAGTTTTCGAATTGGTTTTCTTTACATTGATGCACCAAACATGAAAAGAGTTTTAATAATTTAAATAAATTCAGTGGCAACTGACAATAACTTCGACATTCCTTTGTAGTAATTTCATTTGTGAATGTAGCACTGCGAAATGTTTATATTTTTTGGAAAAAAAATTAGACAAGATGGGAAGACCTGTAAAGTGATTGATGTTGGGAAAATTACTAGGTCCACGTCTCAAGAGATCTTTGCAATTTTTTTGATACATTTAAATACCGATTTTCATAAAATCGTCATATTTCTACAGCAACGCAATATATTAAAGAGGTAACAAAGACGTCCCGAGATAATGACATGTAGTCTTCCATCACATCAAATTCGTTGTTATGAAATGGAACTTTTTCCCTGACATTCACACCCATTTAACTAGAGAGGGGTATAGCGATAAAAAATCCAACAACATTGACGCATAGAAAAATAACGTGTTGCTTTTAGCGCCACTAGCTGAAAATCCAAAGGAATAGTATTTTCAATGCAAATCAACTGCCATTAAGAAGTTTTATTTATTTTCATAGTTATTTTATTGTTATACTGCGTCTTCTTTCTTTTTCAGGTGTAAATTTTTGTACCCGCTAGGGACGCCTTTTCAGAAGTGTGCAACATTATTATTTTATATATAATAATAATATTCGGTTAAACATATTTGTGTCACCGTAGAATCAATATATATTTATATATAAATATATATAAATTTTTTTGATTTTAATGGTCAATAGGCCACGAGTAGAAGAAAATGTTCGGGTAGAGTTCCCAAGATACTGTGAAATTTATTATACTCATGACTTTGGGTTCGATACAAGCAGAACACCTATTAACGACATTGAAAGGTACATTTTATAATCAACGTCCCCGCTATGGACTATTATACACGTGGTGTCTGGTCAGAAAATTATAAATATAAAGGTTTAAAATGCAAGAATTGTCACGAGTTCCTGTCCAGCTTTAAAACAAACGAAAACTAAAATGGTTTTTTCTCGTCAGAGAGCATTCTGAATTATTCTTTTTGGCTTAACTCGGTAAGCTCTGTTGGTCGACAAAACATAATCGCTTGATTTGACGCTTCAAAGTGTTATTTAATAGTTCAACCAACTCATACATTTTAGCTGTTATATTGGATCTTGTTTCTTAACTATATTTTGTTGATTTAAAATATTTCATATTTAGTTGAAATATTTATGCCCCAGTATGTTCTACAGAAAAATAATAACTATAAAAGGATTACAAAAGCGGTGTTAAAATTTGTCAAGAAAGAGTTTAAAAAGGACTCTGGAAAGTTTAAACAGTTTTTGAGAATGTCTAATCACACTTCTTAAATTAATTCTTGAATCAGTTCAACGTTCAAGTAGTTTAAAAATTATTTTTTTAGTTATTTGGAATACAACAGATTAAAGTAAAGCTTAAGTCGTATGCTTAATCATTAGAATAAATGGTCTTAGTATCACCATTAATTGGTGACAAAGTACTTAAACCAATATTTTTGAGTTTTTTAATTTAACTTTCTCAAACGGAACTGATGATTGCAGTTCAAACAAGCTTTGTATACGCCCGACAATCTAGGCACATGCCAATACAGGCATTTCTGGCACATATTCTCTTGCTAGTGGGTTCGTCTTTGTCTATATTGACGAAGCTTGCGGATAGTGATTTTGATGGAACTGGTGACTTCACTTTTGATTTTCTGGGTCTTTGTGGCCAAACATGTTGTTGACCCATGATTACTACTTCCAATTCCATTTATTATTTTTCTGTTCTGTCCCTGTATTGCCTCAGTCGTGATACAAAAGTTGATTAGTTTTGGTTAGTTTTTCTAATAATGTTTTGTCTTATAGCAGTCAGCTCATAATGATGCTGATTTTAACCCACATTTCGTGATTATTATTTTATCATTATTATTATGTTCTCTTCCTGTATTCCCTCAGTCGTGATAAAAAATTGATTAATTTTTATTACTTCTTCTAATAATGTTTTGTCTTCTTATAGCGGCCTAACTTACAATGACGCTGACCTTAACCCACATATTTGTAGTTTTTTTGATGCGATGAACAGCCAAAGCCAAAACTTAAATTGCAAGTTGCAAAAAACTACAAATAGTTTATGCGACATGTTCCACGCGATGATAACAGAAAATAAAGTATGGTGACAGAAGAGTTGAAAAGATGTTTGTACTAAAACTTTTCTCATTTTGGTCGCAGCGTCATTTTAAAAAAATCTGTGGCGTGTTTATTAGCTATCTTGAAAGTGTCTTTGAAAAGGCCAGCACAAGTACCAAAGTTATTAGTTCAAAACCGCAACAATATTTTCAAATAGAGAAAATTCATGGAAGTAATTGAAAAGAAAGTTAAATCACTTGATACGAAAAAGGATCCAGGATCGAATAGAGTCCGTTTTCTGTTTACAAAGTCTTGTCCAAGTTTGACAAAACTGTTTTTCATCATTTTTACGAATTGCCTTCAACAACTTCAAAAATTATACCGATTTTGAAATCTGGCCTGAAAAAATGAAGTAACAAATTATCGTCCAATATCAATTTTAAATTATTTTCTTAAAATATTTGAATCTGTAATATTGGATGAGCTTTTTTTGGTTAGTTTCACCTATGTGTTTCAAAGTTAATAGAAAAGAGTGGGGTTCTAATTAATTGCACAAAAACCTCTTCTCTAATTTCGACAAAATTTGGCAAGCTCATTTGGCATCGGAAGGGTCTTTATTTTATGCAATTGACATAATATTTTCAATTTCAGTGGAGTCCTACAATTGATTGATTTTAGATCTATAAATCAGGATCAGTCAGATTAGTTTAATGACAAAATGAGTTACTTTTCGAATTTTAATAGACCGTGAAATAATTTAATGATTTTTTTAGTCCAGATAAACAATGTTCATTATTTAATAATTTTTTTTTTTAATCGTTGGCGTATCGAATAAGTTAACTGGAGCAGTCGGTAGGATAATCAAAATAGTCGATCGATCGTTGATCGTTTCTCGTGCTGGCATTTCAAAAACTGAGTATCCGTGAATGTTTATTCCGAATCTCTGTGGTGATTTGGGGAATTGTCACTATATCGGGCGAAATTCGTGAGGACTAGCTGCTTTGGAAAAGACAAAATCTCTATCCGAGAAGTAAGACCTTATAGAAAGAAATAGCAACATTGTTCTGGTAGTAATGTAAGTTAAACAAATAAAATTGTAAACATTTTGTAAATTCGCCTTTAATTAATTGACTCTAAAGATATTTTTTCGGAAACTTGTTTAAATAGTTTAGAAGCTGTTTTAAGACAAACTCAAGACGATATTAATAAAATGTCCTAACAAATTGTGAGTTTTATCAGTAGAAATACAGGCTCTTAGGGTGCTAGATACTTAA